TCTGCTAACGAGGGCAACCTGATTTTCATTATTATTTTTGGTATCTCTTTACCAAGAGCGTTTTGACTGTCAGAGCGCCAAATATTTTCCAGAAATTATCCACTTTCATSAAATGCAAGGTGGTGCTTCTGCTAGAAATACCTTGCAAAGCCCTATAGTTATTCACGTTGTCATAAAATGATTGTTAATGCAAACGTTTCTGCTATAGTTGCCTTCCAAGAGACTTAAGAGGAAAAAGATGCTTATCTCCTGCTCTTAACTTTTTTCTTCCTTCAAGAAAYTGTGATTGATAAACGAGCATCCATACAATGACTTTTCTTCTTTTTCCTCTTTTTCTTCTTTTCTGATGGTGGATTCCTCGCCATCAGGTTTCCAGGCAGAGTCAAGCACAGGATTCCTACCATGATAAAGGCAGAGAGCACCCCGAGGAAGGTGAGAAGCGCACAGTCCTGTCTTGTAGTATCGTCCCTCTGTCAGCATCCACACAGTCCTCAGACTGGAACTTGGCTTCTTTTGGGAAATATAGATTAAGTACCTTTTGGGGAAGTGGGATGTCAGAGTGCTTTCAAAGCKCATTTAAAAAGGAGATGAACGTGCAGCACGTTTATCTTGAGTGACCAAATGGCATTTCAGTTGTTTAGAAACTGATAACTAGGCCAAATAGATCTTCACTGAGGAAATAAGTATTTTTAGGATATCAGCTAAAACACATCTATCTCCTCACACATACAGTGTGCAGTTGTGTTCAGAAACTCTCTGCTTTTCTCCATAGCCAAATGTCACTTAAATCTCCTCTTTCCAATCTAAGTATGAACAGACCTCTTGCTTTTTTATTAATATACTGACTGGTTAATTTTGATTGAGAAGGACAGAGGAAATAGCAGAGTTCACTGAATATCATTTAGGAAGCTGGACATGCGTGCAAAGAATGTATGCTGTGWAGGATGGGAGATTATATTTAAAATCAAATGCTTATCATCACAAGCTAAACCAGATCATAAATTCCATATAAAGACAGAGTTCAGTCCTGGTGCTTTCCAGATCTCTGTGGTCATCTTCCTCCAAATTTCTCATTAAACAGTCTAAAAACAATGATGTCCATGCTCATAGCATTTTGGCAGTGAGGGGGAGGTGTTCAGCTCTGGATAGTTTTCTTTTCAGTCCTGCATCTTRAAACCTCACTTTCAAATAGAATCCATATCAATGGGTATATAGGTAGGAGACCTATTCATCCCCACTTGCAGGACCTGGACCCAAACATTCGTTTTCCTACCAAATAGCCTCCTTCACTTGGCTTCCCTTTCGACTATAGTACCATGTGTGTTCAAAGCCCCCCTCCCAAATTGTGAGGATCTCCTTCCGAACTGCCCCCTGCCCTTTAATTGTTCCCAATAAGCATAGCCAGAATGAATTGTTAGCTGCACACACTAGCTCAGCAAGACAAGGAAATTATTACATCTAGTTATCACAGCCCTGTCCTCCCTTCCCTAACAATGATCTTGGAAACMCATACTGGCAATAATACTGAACTCACAAATCCTAGAGGCATGTATAAAATCGGGGAAAATTGCTGCTTGAGAAATGTGATGTCATTGCTGATGTATCTACTTTGATTTGAATGGGTACTAGCAAAATAATTTACTCTGAGACTATTCTGTATTTTAAACACAAACTCCTCACCRAGTGTATTTGCTCCTTTAAAAATAAACTCTTCCTAAAAAATGTTATTACAAATTGCTTCAGATTGCTTTCTGTCAGTAGTAATTTCTATGAGTCAGGAAACATTTGCATGCAGAATATTTTTATATATGCAYGGTATCTGTTTAAGTGCTCTAACTCATGAGAAATGCATATGTGTGGAATAATGTAATCATTGTTTCATCTTYCATAGGAAAGCATCCAGACAGTGGCTTATACAGCAAGGGACCATCATACTCTGGTTATTCTGGGTATATCATGATGCCAAATATGAATAACGACCCATACATGCCTAATGGATCTCTGTCGCCACCCATCCCCAGAACAGTGAGTTATCTCTTCCAAAGGCTGGTTTGGGCAACCTGGGTTTCCTCCTGTTTGGTCTGCAGAGTCTGTTTACAGCAGGGTCTTTTGGGTAGCTTCAGTGACGATGAAGGTTGWGCTTCTGCTGTTCAGAGCCTCTTCTAGTGGAGTTTGTAGAGGTGTTGGCCATGCCTGAGATTAATGTCTGTGAACAGGGCTGGGGGCTTTGTGGGGGGAGCCCTGGTTTATGACTGTAGGATAATGTATGGCAGAATGATGTAAATGCCGTCTTTGTAGTGACTGGGACAGATGTGAATTTTCTGGCTTTAACTCTTCGTTTGTTGAGGAAAATCAAGGGCTGGAAGCAGAACTGCTAAAGTTGCATGTCAGTAAGATGAGAAGATTGGATTTTTTTTCCTTTTTTTCTTTCTTTTTATTTTTTCTTCAGATGTGGCATTGCTCTTTGCTGATTGATATTTATTTCCACTATCATTTGGTCTGCGTGAAGGCTTTATCTATCKGGCAGCATTGCTTTGAAACTCTGTATCTTCAGCCAGAAATTGTGAAATGATCACTTAGGAATTAATATCAGCCATGATACAGTAGTTACAGCTTTCCCTTACATTGTGGTGAGCGCTGATTCTTCCAGGTTGGTCCCTCTGTTTCCATTGGTGTAGATGCATGTGTAATGGATTTTAATGTACTTTTAATTCTGGATAGTCAATTCCCATTTATTTTTGTAAGCCTCTTGGTATACATATAGAGCAATGGAGAGGCAGTGTTAAAATGAACTGTGGAAATTATATTAGTAGAACCGGAGTGGAGAGGGAAACAATTTGCTTATAGGCATCCTGCTGGAAAAATGCTGCTGCCGTTGTGCGTGCTGTGATATGAGAAGTTGGATGCTGTTACTTCCCTGTGATAAAGCAGTTTTCTCTCTTACCAGCTCTTAGATTTTTCACTTGGAGGTCTCTGTCATGGCATTGTTTTGCTCTCTGATGGTCTTCATTTTTATTCAGGATTGTTGCATTTGACTTCAAAAACAAAATGAAGGGGCCTGATCTGTATTGGTAATTTGACAGCAGCAAAACATACCAAATTAGTGTATGTTTGGAGTCAGAATGACAGGGTGSTTTGGTACTGGAAAACACATGGATCTGCAGTTGAAAGATGCAAAAACTCATGAAATAGATTGCTTTCTGTGGCTGTGGGGTCTTTTTGTGTATAAATTCCAGTTCAGAGGCCTACAGCYGTTTCGGGTGAAGCATGATGATCACAGTCTGTTGATATTTGTTGTTGTAAATGCTGTTCTACAGAAAACTTCTGTTTGGATGTATCATGGGGAAAAGCATGCAGCTTTTCAAGAGGGCATCAGGACTCAAAACTGCCCTTTGGAGGACTAGGAAACTTCAGACTTTTTTTTTACCCCCTCTTTGCCATGTTATCTCCATAAGAAAGTCCCGAGTGCTGGTGCGTGGCTTGGAACAACAAAATCCAATTTAATTATTCACTGAGGATTTTCTCCACATATGCATGCTGTGGGGCTGTCGCTCTTTCCAGACAATTCTTTACATCAATGCCCTCAGAATATCATCTTGYAGAGGCTCTTGTCTCAGGTACTTGAGGAACTGCCCTTTGTGGGTATGTTGGCGGCRAGGAAGGGGGGAAAAGGCATCTTGTTTTTAATTGTAAAGCTGCCTGCTGAACATCTGAGGGGCTAATTTAGTTCAGTGCTTCTCTTGCATGTTACAGCAGCACCACTGTTTCAATAAAATAATGCTGTTGCAGGGCTGCAATGTTGACATAAGCCTGGAGTTCTTTCAGTTTAACCACAAGGCTACACGCTTGAGTTATTAAATAATTTTTTTTGTTTAATTGAACTATTATCTTTGTTGGGCGCGTAGCTGACAGTTGGGGTTTAATGCGCGGAGATCAAAACGCGGCATCCAGGAGGTGACATCGTCGCTCGCTCCATGGCTCAGCACAGCCCCGGCGCCACTCTCACCTCTCCGGGCTCCCGACCGCGGCCCTCCAGGCTTGCTCTGCCTCCCCTTTCCAGGGACAGAGGAGCAGCTGAGATCAGCAAGCGCTGGAGGCAAAGGTCTCCCCTGGGGTGTCAGTCCCCAGCCATTTGTGCCTGGTGTGTACCTGCGCCCTGCTATTTGCATGACAAAGACGCTTCTTGTTGATGCATCTGTTGCCTGGAGGTGTTAGCCAGGATTAAAAAGGCGCCCTGGGGCGCTGAATCTTTTTTTCCAACTTGGAAGGACCTGCTGACTGCAAACTGCCCCGGGGATGTGCCCCTGGGGAATGGTGTGCAGACACAGGGCAAGGACCATCTACGGGGAGGGAGAGCAAAGCTTTCCTGGAAAGGGAAAAAAGTTTCTTTCGTAACCATATTGGGAGGGGGRGCGGGGGGAAATGCTTTCCTTTTTTTAAGGAAAGGTGAATGCTTTAGGAGCTCTCTTTATAAAATTAAAAATACAAAGCTATAGTCAAACACAACTTGTCCAATAAACTATAATAAAAAAAATGAAGTCTAATTTCAGTGCAACTTTTAGAAGGGAGAGGGTGTTTGAGAAGGATTTAGAATCTTCCAAAATCTGCTGTTGTTAGTGTTGTTAGAAAGGTCTTGTCTTCTCCATTCTCCTCCCCCAACTTTCTTTTTTTTTTTTTTTTTTTTTTTTTTTTTTTTTTTTTTTTTTTTTTTTTTTTTTTTTTTTTTTTTTTTTTTTTTTTTTTTTTTTTTTTNTTTTTTTTTTTTTTTTTTTTTTTTTTTTTTTTTTTTTTTGTAATTTTCTTATTTTACTGGCAACTGATTTGCTTTTTCCAAGTTGTATTTGTAGGAGCAGAAGAGTGTTAATTGCAAGTTTAGGTAGGAGCCTCATGCCGCAGGATGTGTTCTTATCAGATAGGTGGGTAAGTGGGAAAGTGAAGCAGTTGGTTTGGGTGGCTGCAGGAGAAGTGGCATGAGATGGTTCCAAAACCACAGGACACCTGGTGAATGTGCATCCTGTGTGCTCGAGATATCTTTTGGTGGTTTCTCAGCATCGTGGGGGTACTGAAGATGGGAGATGGAGACAGCTGTTTGTTTTCTAACGTGTGGGTTTTTGCTTTGGTTAACAAGACTCGTTTTRGGGGGGCAAACCTTTCTTGTCTGTTTGAGAGGAACGTGGGAACAAATGAGGTGACTGAAGAAGGATCATTTCTCCGTGTTGTAAATTCATCCAGAAGATAATTTTGTCTTCGTTTCTCACACACTTCCCATGAATTAAATTTCCTATGGAAAGACAGAATTTCTGCGACCTCACTTTYGCCTGTTCTTACGCGTTCCTGGGTTCTGGGTATATTTCTTGGTGGCTCAACTGCCTTTTTGTAGCAGCTGGATGTGTTAAGTAGKTCGAAGGATACAATGTATTAACATCTTATGGCAACTTGCAAAATCCAGCCTATCCATTTGAAAATGAGGAGGAATTCTTCTAAGGGAGTTGGATTGCTAGGAACAATGCAGGACTAGCCCAAATTTTGGATATTCTTTGTGTGTTTCTGCGTGGCAGGGGGTATAGAGTTAGTTCCTGTCCTGAAGAACTGATGTCCCAGGAGAAATTGGGATGATAATATGGGCAGAAGGAAGGATAAGAGAAGAAAAAGCAAAAATAAGTGGCTACAGACCCTCAGTGAAAGGGTTTTGTTTCCCTAGCTGCATTTTCTGTGCCTYTGAAAGCTGGTTGATTCAATTGCTTGTGGGAAAATTTTGGCGCACCAAGGGCAATGTAGGAAAGCTGCAGAAGGTTCCAAACCTGGTTTTTCATTGAATTGTCTTTTCCTGAGAATTTGCTTCTGCTTACTATGCAGTTGTAGGGAATTGCTGGGAGCTGTGGTCAGTTCAAACCTCCCTGGCCCAATGTGAAATAGGCTTTCAAAGTACAGATGCTGTGGCTCAGCTCCTGCTCCCATATCACCCACCAGAAAGCTTTGCTCTGATTCCCAAGTTGGCATAGGAGCAGGATGCTCGGGGGCCTTAGGCAGCTGTGGTCCTGTTGCAGATCTCTCTTCCCAGCACAACTCCAGATCCATGCTTGAGGAGACGGGCAGCTGAGGGGCACGACAAGCCAGAGCTGCTTATCCAACACCRAAGCTCTGCAGCTTCACCCTGCACRGCRCATGGCTTCTCAGTGCRGTCGAATGCCGATTAGCTCCTTAAATAACTTTGAAATCAGGCACGGAGGGGCACAAAGCTTCCTGGCTGCATGGAAGCAGAACTTGACAGAGTGTATTAGCATTTGCCCAGGGAGGAATTTTAGCACTATTTTCTGAGGAGCTCGGTGAGTTGTGCCAAATGGCAGCACCGGGAAAGAACAGGAATCTGCTSAGCCCTAATAGTGGGACCTCATTGCTGCAAACATGTCTATCAGCTRCTCTGGCTCAAGCAATCACAGCTGATCAGTCTAAGACACAGTCAGGCCACTGTGAAACATAAACCCAAGCCATGAATGGTCATGGGATGTGTTTTGGTGGTGTTTTCTTTCCCCTCTTGATGAAATAAACTCTTCATTTGGAAAAGGAGGCAGAAGAAGTTACCACGGTGGTGTTTGGTTGTCCTTGTCTGAAGCTTGCACTGGTTGCTTGTGATAAGAGCTCCAGGCAGAGCCTTAGGTGTATASCTCATTATTACTGTGATCTTTGGCACCTTTTAAGCTTCTTTGGCCTTCTCCTTGTCACGTTGATGCAATTAGCAAATCTATGTAATTGTGAATGGGCAAGGGGAAAACAAAATGTTCCCCTGATGTCTCAGTGCAGAGGCAGCAATTGTGCGTGTGTGGCTTGAGCAGAGGCATTATCAAAAACCTCACCCAYTGCAAATCATCAAAGTTGGAGCTTTTGTATAGCAATATGTGTGTATGTTTATGTCCTAAATATCCTTTTTTTAATATATCTAGGAGCTAATTCAATATAAACTTTAAATGGTAGAGCTGCTGCTTACTTTTTAAAGTGGTTTAAGCAAAATGTCATTCCTGTCTTTT